TTTAATAATTTTTTATTTATTTATTTCCTTTTTTTTTTACAACACCAAATCGTTTTCTTTTTGTACAAGTTAAAATTTGTTAATATTGCTAATTGATTTTTAAATAGTAAACAAGCCTTATCAGTTATCAATAAAGCCGAGCTAAAAATAGCGCTGAAATGCGCATTCCAAGCAAAAAATTACAATCGGTTCTAAAGTAAACAAACAAATCCAATACATATATTTCATTAACAATCAATTTAATCTCTTTTCTCTACAAAAAACCAATTAGTTGTAGTAACTGTGAACATGTATGTATGTATATATGTACATACATATGTATGTATGTATGTAACTAGGTTATGTTTGAGGTGTACGTGATGTATGGCCGTATGTCAAAACGTGTATGTTTAATCATTATTATAATATAGAAATTAGTTCTCAAAGAAAATATTACAAAATAAAATTTTTTTTTACCAAATGTTTAATTGTTGATAAGCTTATAAGCATACATATGACTTTGTCCACTAGTCAACTATCCCGCCAATACCGCAATAGTTCAATAAAATCTGGTTGAACGACGTACAAGGTTAATAAATGGCGGTTTATCAGTGTAACGGTAATTTAGCGGTCATAATTGATTAACCCATCAGCGGTGATCTGTGCGCCAATGAACGCACATTAATTAACTGATATATACAAACATATATATGTACATACATGTGTATGTGACTAATACATATGTTTGTTTATGTCTGAAGGCTGCGATTTCTGACATTTCTAGCTACAATTTTTTTGCTACATAACCGACAACTATTTATTGATTTTTTTGTTTTTTAATTTTTATAAAAATATATTTTAGCTCAAAATTTATTATTTTCTATGAAAATTATAGTATAATGAAAATAACAGGACTTAAATGAAATATTCTTTGAAAGCTCTCGCAAATTCAGTCTTAAAAAAAAAAAGTATTTTTGTATTTCTTTTACATAATATCGCACGTCAGCCGGCACATTTTATGACATGCTGACAATATCCCAAGTCTGTCAGTGAAATTCTAACCCATGCACCTTCTAATTGTATTATATTAGCAATTTTTGCCTGAAAGTCACAGCTGCTTCCTAATTGCCTGTGTTTTGTGGAAAATTTTCATTCTTCTTTCATTCTTGGAAATGTGGGACTCGCGCTCGCGATTAGTATTTCCACTTATCAATTATTGCAATTGCTAAAAAAGACTTGTAAAAATTCAAATGATAACTAAAGAATGCAAAGCTCACAATAAATGCACACACATATGTACACATGTATAACCAACTGTTCGTATGTGTCTAGTCAGCATTATTTGCGAAAACACGAGTTTCGACATGTGTGCTTTTTGTGTGTGTGTTGTAATTAAAGGCGCCTATTCTAAGCGAGTCTTTTTCTAATTGCTCTCTTGAGTTACGCAATTTTATTGTTACATATTTATTACTCTATTGAGGAGATAACATATTTTCCTCGAGTGTAATTATAAATTGCTGATAAGAGCCAAGAATTCGTATTTTAAATATATAATCTGTCGTTTAAATATGTAAGTTATTTGCTTGTTGTTGTCAAAAAGTTAGAGATATTAGATATATCGATGTGTAGTTATGTATTGTACTTATAGGTTTATAAATAAAATCATCTAACGGCATTCAAAGTATAGCTTTGAAAGTGTAATTTTTAAATAAAAAATTGATTAGTTGGCCTGCAATTGAAATATTAACTTGCCTTTTAATTAGCTGCCTAAGAGCATTTTGTCACAAAAAGTTTGATAAGAATGGGGAGGAATGAGGAAGAATGTTTCATACTAAGAAAATTTATGGGAAAATATTTTCTTACTTTTTTTAAATATAATTTTATTGTAGTTTTCCTTA